GGTCCTCGCACTCTCCCCCTTCACCCCTGCCTCTCCAACTAAGGTCTCCCTGAACACCAGGCCACCTCTGATTGGTCCTTTCAACTCATCAATCCCAGGTATTGTGAGGCAGGCTGACACTGCTCATGACAAACAATGTTTTTTAGGAGTAGCAACTTTTTAACACCCCATCCAAATTCTACAGGAGAGAGAAAAAGGAAAAAAATCAGCCAAGATCCCAGTTTCTTCATTTCTCCACATCTTATTTTTTTTTCTTCAATCCTCCTTGATCTACACTCCTTTATTCCTCAGAATACACAGCTACTAAGCGGGCTTTTGAAATCCTTATATCCCCATAGCCACTGCAAGATCTCTCACTCTGTCTCCCTCTCTCTCTCTCCTAAAATGCCCACCCTCAGTCTGAAACCTCTGTTCTCTTTAACCATTTCCAGGCAAGTGGATTCTCAGGATAACACAGTCATTTTGTGTTCTTAGCCCATGTATTCAGTACCCATCACAACACAGGTGGGTGGAAACAATTCTGACTTTCTTTTTCATTTTCTCTCTTTTTTTATTTTGACTGTCTATTTGATCTGCTGTTATACATTTATAATTAACTTTATAATTAAATATATATTTATAACTGCAAGGTCCCTTACTGGGCTGAACTATTTGACTTTATTGTGATAGACAGATATATAGATAGATAGATAGATAGATAGATAGATAGATAGACAGATAGATAGTTTTTTTTTTGTTTTTTTTTTACTAGAATTCATATCCTGTCTAAATGGGCCAGTGTAAGTTTCATGACATTCAGACTCTTTTTTTTTTTTTTTTTTAGTTCACAAATCAGTCACCCTCGTCACAGTTATTGAAATTCCTCAACTTGCCACACCAGGACGGTGAAAAAGCAGGCGGTGTCTTTGTTAGTGGCCGAGCTTTTGATCGCCAGAGAAAATGTACTTACCCTCAGATGAGTGCACAGAAAAAGAACTTACACTCCCTTTGATTTACTCAGGAAAATGTAGACATTTTGATTCAGTGCAAACATACAACACTTGGTTGTTTTCTAGATGCAACCCTCCATTAACCTGTCTATCCCCCCCAGTTTAAAGTCTATAGAATTACTGACCATACTTTCTTTTTGTCCTCTACAAAGGGAGCTCCAACAATACATTAAAATCATTGGAGAATGGTGTGACGATGGGCTCTGCATACATTGCCCCCTTTGAGCCTTCAAATTTAACACAGTTGCCAAATAATATTCCCGAAAATGTATCTCCACACATATTTTCTATTTACATTTATACCTGCAAAAAATACATGTATGCAACAATAAAATGGAGACCTTTCATTTAGACCCTGTTTTGCATATTCATTAGATGTAATTATTTTCTAGTAATGAAAACATTAAGAGCTAAACCGTGGATCGGAATCGTTCCATTTATCCTTTGTTAGCTATTTCAATGGCCCTTTTTGGAGCTATATTTACGCCACTAAGTCTCTCTGCTTGACAAAGGGACCTTAGCCCATCTTTTCAAAAGGAATACTTGTAAATAGCGGAGTGCAGGTAGCATTTTAATTAAAATAGAACTACTCTTAGTTAACACATTTTAATCGTAATAAGCTAAAGACTGCGAAAAAGCTCTCAGATACAAACTAAATGTTATTTAGATGTAATGTTCTGTTTGTGTATCTGTATACTGCATGCTGTATTTTAGGTGTACATAATATTTTTTGTAAAAAAAAAAATACAAAATAATAATAATAGTAGTACATACTTGCAAATGCTTCTCAGTAAAGCCTAAATCCATGCACTCCCAGGACTGTGCAATAGACTGGCATACAGGTAGATGCACTTAGTCTCATTTACTACACTCCATTCCAGACAAATAAACAAATATTGCACCCCTGCCCAGTTGTGTGCTATGAAGCTGTGCATAGATTATAAGGAGAGTAAGGTGACGTTTGTTTTTGTGCTAATACAAGGGAAGATCTAGCTCAGCTTTCTGGAAGTCGATAAAGATATTTAGGGAATGTGTTTAAACCTACAAAAAGTGTCTGTATTTAAAAAAAAAAAAAAAAAGAAAAAAAGTTGTGGGTTGCAGAAGTTATCAAGTGGGATTTGCAGAGCTCTCTGCAGGGAACGAAAGCTGCCCTGGTTCAAAGCCACATGCACCAACGTGACAATGTAAGCCATTAAAATATCATCCTGGCGGCTCATTTCTGCTTCATCATCTTTCTCTAACTGCCTTCAGAACCCAGTCTAGAAGAAATTGTGGATGACCACACAGGAGCTGCTTTATATATATATATTTTTTTTATTTTTTTTATTTTTTTCAGCCTAAGGTCCTGTGAAGATGTGAAGCTCACTTTGCAACAGGTGGGGAAAGCTCAGTAAGAAAAGGTAGACCCCATGGACCTCTTTGTATAACCTACTATAACCTGCCCCATTATGATGTACTCTTATGTAGATGGAGGTTTGATTGAGATACTTTTTTCACATGCTTTGTTTGTTTAGAAGATCTTTTGTGCTGGCCTTAAAGTGCAGGCAGACAAACAAATAATTATTATAGTGCGGATATGTAAGAAGGGGAGTAGGAAGGTCTACTAGCCTTCCACCTATCTAGAAAGAAGAGACAGGCTTCCCCTGTACACTGTAAATATCCAAGCCTCCCTCCTGTCTAGATATAGCCTCGGGAAAAAAAATACAGGACGTAGAGAAGGAAACGATTTATTGGAAATGATATTTAATTACCAGCTCCTTTGTCCGCATTGATTAATATACTATACACATTTTTTTATATCATCCAAGTCTATAAAATGTGTTTGCTGTTGATACCCTCACTTAAGTGATGACAAAAATACGATTTATGATTTCAGGGAAAAATGAGTCTTTAAGTTATTTCATATTTTACAAACAATGCAGGCATGTCAATAGAATTATTTGGATTTGCTATTATTATTTTGTGATTATTTTTATTTTTTTTATCATAGATTTTTTTATCATAATGCCCCAATTTAATCGTTAATATCAAATTATGTAAAAATAGCTCATGGAAACATATGGTTTACTTTTATAAGGCAGTGCTACAATACAGCCATTTGTATATAGCTTTCTCAGGTTCCTGTGTGGATGCTACTGTTGTTGTTGTTGTTGCTAGCATTATTGAAGTGGTTTTTTTTTAACTCTATGTTACTGGAAATGTAGTTAATCGGTCTGGATGAGTGTTGAAGGATAAATCTCTTGATGTCGCCGACTTTTGAAATACCATAGAGTTTGACCTCTGACCCAAGAAGAACCACATGTGCACATGCAGAGCGTGAGTGGATAAATAGACTCAGCCAAATAATATGCCTCCTGTCTGCTTGTACATGGCTGTAATTCCAGCATTAATTGTTTCTAAAGTTCTAATCACACTCCCAGTGCGTGCTATAGCACCATGATGACAATATGTATTATGGTTCTTTTTTGCTTTGTCCCATTGTACAGAGAAGGGCATTTTTTACTTGCCACACTCTATATTATATGTATATTATCATCATACAGTTTGTACATTTACATCATCCCAGAATCTATAAAATGTGATGACAGTGTAAATCCTCACATTCCACACAAGTGCTGAGAAAAAAAGTGTGTGTCTGTCTGTCTGTGTTGTATATACATATATATACATATATATATATATATATATATATATCTATAGATGATAAAATGTAAATCTCACCTGAATTGATATAATTTGTTTTCTCACCATCTCAAATCCAGGGGAGGGAATACTTGCTGTCAAATATGTATTGGCACGCTTTCTTAGAAAGAAAACAAGAACTGATGATCATTTAACCCTTACAGTGCTAGGGGTTGGTTAAGCATGGGTTAATTCTAGATGCTGCAGAATATGCCAGAAAAGTTAGAAGAGGTTTTTAATTGTGTTTCTTTGTGTTTACACTTTGGGGTCTATTCACTAAACATAGAGTTGAGAATCGACTTGCAAACTTTATCATAGATTCGCCGAATTAGTTGAATACAGTGTCCAGAAATCACTGGAATAGGCACTTACTGCATTGTATCTCCAATGAAAAAAAAATAAAATAAAATAAAATCAAAAGAAATGTGCTCCTTTCCTAGTTAATGCATATGGTTAACCAAAATAAATGGGTATTTAAACATATATTTGTTTTGGATATGGAAGCACACACACTGTCAGTCTTGCTTTAACTCCAAATACCTGGGGATTTATTCACTAAAGATTGAATTATGGTGCATTAATAAGTAAATAATCACTGAGTATTTGCTGATTTGCAAATTCTACATTAAAATGTGTGAAATCTGTAACTCAGTTTTATTCAAATAGTTTTTCTCTAGTTTGTGAAGTGAAGATACGTTTGCTCTGGACGGGGATTCCCAAGTCACTTTAATTCCCTGTTTAGTGAATAGGCCACCAAATATCTATAGTATTTTCAATATGACCATTTGTAATATAAACGCGCTTATCAATCAAACACATTGATAACAATGATATATGTGTATCTAATAAATATATATATGTGTGTGTGTATCTGCACACAAATGGGATGTATTTTGAATTGACCCTTAAAATCACATAATATGATTCAATATGAGGCAGATCTCTATTAATATATTAATGGTATCTGGAGTATTCTGGAAAACGTCCAAATCTCCTGCATTAAAAAAAAAAATGAAATAATATAGTTACTTGATAGATAAAAACATGAAATATATTTGCTATAATATATGTTACATCACTGTAGACACTGTAGATATGATTAATTTATTTTTCTCAGTATTATTTTTTTTCACATTTGTCTATCTATCTATCTATCTATCTATCTATATCTATTTTCACGCACAGAGTGGGAGATATTTATTAAGGCAGTTTGTTTTTGTTTGTTTGTTTGTTTGTTTTTAGCAAAGCGCTAACTTAGTGGCAGTCGCCATGGAAACCAACAATGTGTTTCGTTCTATTGCTCTGCTTTTTGCATATTCCCCTATAATTGCTCAACATTGTTCAGTGCGTTTTATACTGTATGGATGTAGCAAATGTTTCATCATATCCTAAGAGATCATTTACATGAAGTCATGCAATGCGTTAGATCTATGGCAGAAACTTGGCTTTATAGATAACAGAGCTGTTAATTATTGTTTTATATTTATATCAAATCCAGAGGAATGCTAAGGAGAATCCCAAGCTGTATGCCATCAATAAGTGAAATCTGACCAGCACATGTCATAGTCTTCAAAACCATACTTAGGAATCCTAAAGGGAAATATGCATGGAGAGACTGGTCATGCTTCAAATGCATGCCATACCATCTAGATTTGGCAAAGTACACAAGAATCCAATAAAACGTGTGTTATTAAACATATATACCAAAATGTAGCTCATGCATTACTTATTAAATCATACAAATGTTTCAATTTTGTAGCTTGGAGTGTGGACCAACTGAGCTCTAGCACATTTAAAAAGCATTGAAAGAATGTGCCATTGACGTTTCCTTGTAAGGATGAACATAATAGGAATTTGCAGGAACATAAGGAAGACACCACGTAAGTTTAAAATGTACCAATTTTATGGCCCACAATGACATTCTGGCTTTGGAGATGCGTGCCCTCTTTTCGTGGACAATCATAAATCAGTGGCATAACACCCTAGCAGCATCTAGTTAATCCTGCGTGCTCATTGCCCCTTCACTTGGAGGTGATAGAATTAAAATTTGACGACTTTCTCATTGAAACAACCACCCCTGACCCCAGTTGACTGCATTGTCACATTACTCTATGACATATTCATCTTGAATTCATTTACGGACGATTTGATTGGAATGAGCTTTGACATGTATTGGATCCTATTAAAAAAAAAAAGACTTTGATCTTCTTGATGGGGTTTACATGATATGTATCATCCTTACTAGGGATACCATGCTTTCACAATGTGGTGGCTACCAGGGCTCCACAATGAGGTCTGAGTAGTTAGTGACTGACGCCTCATTTGACAGAGATACTTTAATCGTGAGCTGCTGTGTCACAAACCTTATGCAAGGGACACTCATATATCTCACCCACTCCCCATGGGACAATAGGAGGTGCTCACAGTCAGACACATTTACTCTGCGTTCTATCCAGAGTCTAGAACTGGCGATTGCAAACTCCATTCACCCCTGTCGTTTTCCAATACTTTAACCATTTGGACGCTTTGCAGCTTATTAACTAGCCACTACTGCTGACAGACATACAGACAGAGAAATATATATATATATATATATATATATATATATATATATATATATATATATATATATATATATATGATGCGTAGATGCAAGGTCAAGTAGCAAAACAGTAATTGTGTTTCATGAGAGCACATAGTTCATGATTGGCTATATTATGTGATTATTGATCTGGTTATACGTTTTTTTAAGTATGTAACATCCTTTATGTTATTGATATATGACCCTATATTGATTGACATGTAATACCCCTAGATGATCTATTTAAATTAAGGTAAAATGGGCATATAAGTATTAGTACCAAACAAATTTAAAATATTAATATTAACAATATATATATATTATACTAGCAGCTTGGAATATATATTGTTGTGTGTGTGTATGTGTGTATATATAAATATATTACACACACACACAAATACATTCACATACATCTCCAATCAATTATTTAGAAATCAGAATAGGAATATTATTTATCTCTGAGTATATCTTGCTAAACTGCTCAGACTCACTCAGGTGGTACACAATTGTGTTTATAAACCGGACAGTCTTAGGTGTTTCTTCATTTGTAAGTTCTTTGTCTTGCGTGTGATTTTCAGTGTTAACATTGTTGTAATTTTGTTATTCTTATGATAGATGGATAGACAGAGGCAGATGCACAGCCTCATTAGGTGGCTAATAAATATATCCATAGAGATATTTATTAAACCATTCAATTACAGCAATTGTTTTAATATGAATTATTAAAAAAAACAAGGCCCTTTAAAAATAAGGTTAAATTATAACTTATTACTACACGTTTCTATTCCTAGAACAAATAAATAGTGTACTAATGGTAATAGGCTTCTCTACCTACCTGCATTATCTTCCACACTATTATTTATCTATTTTAATTATGAAAACAATCAATTATATTTTATAACCCAATAAAAATACTCCAGATATCTGTGTTTGTATTGGGTGCAGCCAGATTGGATCTTTCCACAGACCATGCTGAGCAGTTATTTTTCAGAGAAACTATTTAGTGTTAAATTATGTACATTTGAAATTAATTGATCTACCTACAATTGCAGTAATAGATTCGTTTCTGTACATTAATATAGGCTGTTTTCAATCTTTTGAACCAGTTTGCAGCTAATCAATAATTAAATGATCTTTATAAATTCAGCAGTTTTCACATATGTTGTGTGTTTTTTCTTTGCAAAAATGTCTACTTCTGCCTCCATCCAGGAACCGGTGTACCTTGTACAAACTATTAAATGAATCAGACTGCTTGCAGTATTGCTATGTTTTGTCAATGTGTGCCTTTTCACATAGATTTACAATTTACAAAGATTTCCAATCTCGCCACTTAATTGTATTGCACAATTGCTTTCCTCAAAATTACATTTGTTTTACTTGAAATAAAAAATAGAACATCCAACCTTAAATTTACCATTTCTTTATTTTGGTATTACTTCCGTGAACTAAATATGGGCCCAGCGCTCTGCAACTTTCGATTTTTTTTGTTATCTTTAAAAACAAAAAAAAAGTTTTGCTTCTAGGAATATTGCAGCAATTTCATTTTATTATACTCGCCATAATGCTTTGTACTGTTCATGGTATTGTATATTGACATCCAAATTGCTTCTCCTTAAAACTTAATTCGTTTTTTATTTTATTTTATTTTACTAGATAGGTAGACAATTTTGGTAAACTAATGCTACTATAAAAAAAAAACTTTCTCTTTTACACTCTATAATCTCCTAATCATTATATCTATCTAAATATCTCATTTAAAACGCACGCACATTGTATGTGGTTTGGATTTGACTGATAAGTATACGTTGTATATACTATCATGTACGTTCCTTAAAAAAAATCTTACTACACTATGTACTATAGTACACTTTCCTATCTTGTCACATAATCAAAGCTATCACTGGGATTACCCGACAGCTAATCTACACAATACTTACTGTATACATAGAAAATTGTGTATGTGACATTTACTGCCTTATGGGTATCGAATTGAAAGCATAATGCAATTATACACATACACACAAACACACACACACACACACACACACACACAAACACACAAACACACACACACACACACACACACATACATAGACACACACAAACACACATACACACACACACACATACATACACACACACACACACAAACACATAAAAAAGAGAACGTGTTACCTTCTGAACTAGCAGCATTCTTTTTGACATCTTTAATAGTTTACAACAGTCTTTCCATGACAGTAGAGTCTTATCCGACTTTTTTTAGAATGACGAATAAATGTCTGTCAGCTTTTATTTGGAATGTCTTGTTTTTCCCGGATACCTTTTTGTTCCACACACTACAATGACTCAGGTAAAATAAAAATAAAAAAAGATAAACAAACAAGAAAACAGAATGAAAAAAAAAATCGGCACACACAGACACACACAAAACACAGACACATACGCAAACAAAAGCTATATGTTGCCTGTAAATCATAGCTCCACAAAGAAAGGGGTGTACTTTTAACATATGCTCCATGCCTGCACACATAATACAAAGTGTTTTAATTAGAAGTGTGTACAAGCATTGAGAACACAAGCAGGTACAATATATGTCCAGGTAAATGTTCTACTGGTCAGCTGTGAGCACTAACTATTGATGCATTCATTAAGTGATCTTGATCTTGTAACATCCATTTGTAAATTCCTGCAGGGAATACTGGCGTTTAATACACTTGTAATAGGTGCACCATTTAATGACTTATCTTAAACAGAATAACCAAGCAACAGGCCGAATCGTTTACATGGAACGTGGCATCGACAGAACGCAGGAAGCTTATTCAATACACACTGACAGGCTTAGTCACTAAGCAAAGTGAGAAATTCAAAGTGAATTCAAACTGAATTTCAAATAAATGGCAAAGGTGGCTGAACAGAAAGTATAACAGACATACAGATGTTTATCAGTTCGCCTATTCTGACCTTAAATGTAAAATTTATTTGAACTCTCTTCTCACTTTATTGAATAACCCTGTGTATTGTTGTTAGTTGAAAACCGAATTGTGAAATGTCAGCTAAACATAGCAAAGTTGTGACTGTAGCTGACTTGAAGAATCTTTGTAAATCATCGATTTGGTCCCACATTTTGCTGTCCCGTTTTTAGTTCGCCAAAACTCGCTTTTTAGTGAATCAGCGTTCTCGTGATTTTACATTCGCCATGCAAAATTTAAGTTGACTTGGTTAGTTTTCTAAGTCGGTTATTTTAACTTACATTTTGCTGGTGGTTGACCTACTCACTGCATTTAACTATTTAGAGAATATACCCCGGATGGAGCTTTTTGGAGGACTCCTTGAATGCTTAAAAAAAGAAAATGTTGCTTGCCCACTGTTTTAGTGCTCATCGGGTCAACAATTTATTGCTAAAATATATTTTATTCTTATTTTAACTTGATACCATTTAAGAAAGATGAGAGCTGTGTCCTTTGCTAGTTATATGTCGTGTTATAACACTAGGGCAAAAACTTAGCAGAACATATGACTTTAAATGGTTAATTTGTGGACTGGGACAAGGTTAGTTTTGTTACACATTACTTGGCATTTCACCAAAATCGCACTTCTGTTCAGGAAAATCCTGGGAAGCAGAGAGGCAATACAAAACGGTAAGAAAAAAAATCTACTATATGTCTGCTAATTGACACAAAATGTTACAAAAATAATTGAATCTGTCAAAAGTCATCTGAACTGGTAAGAGACACAATATCGAATAGAATTATTTTTATTTAGTGAGAATTTGAAAACATTTATGGAACAAGGTACACATTGATACTAACGGCACAGTCAGATGAAGTAAACGTGTGAATTATTCATGTCCCCGACGCTTTATCTGTGTATTTACACTCACATTTACTCACAAGAATCTTCATCATAACACGTGGCTACTATGTTGCGACAAAATATTGGAACTCTTCAGGACAAGAATATGTCTCATTTACATGGTATTGTGTTAAATGTGAATTCCAAGGTGCTTTTACAAACGTGAGAAATCTATTTGCTGCAGCTTTGCAATTTATTTATTTTCTCTTTTTTTTTTATCGCTCTTTTTAATTGCACAGTCCACACATTATTTAGTTATACTATACACAACACAAACACTCATACTGTCTGTGTGTGTAGGTGTGTATGTATATATATATGTTCCAATTACAGATCTCTACACACAAGACATTCACTGATTTATACTCGACTGTAAACAAATCCACAGGTTTTATTTTAAATGGACCGACTTTGCAGAGGTAAATGGAAACGCAGACATCTAGCACAAACTCTGCAGCAGTGGTAAAGATGAAGATGAAACATGGTAACACCGATCTGACCCATTATTAACCCATGTCTTGCCGCAGAGGCTGTTTCATAGACTATTCTACAGACTAAAAAAAAAAAAAAAAATACTTATCTAACTAAGGACATGTTCAGCACATCCTAGTCCTCCTATTTGGTTCAGATGGAGGGAAAATGTGTCTGAAAACATCAGGCAACTGTGTTGTTTGTGGGAGGGAAGAGCAAACACGGCGTGGCTCTTACTGCGCATGCTCAGTGTCCTGTATCTTTTTTTTGCCCCCCCTCTCTTCCCTCCCAGTCCCCTTCCTCCTCCTTTTCTCACAATCCTTTCAGAGTTTCAGCAGGACCTGTCAGTGGGGACGTCAATCACCTCCGACCAGCCAATCAGCGCGCGAGGTGATTGTCGAGCTCTCTGGGCAGCAGTAGTGTCCATGAATCTCTATTCAGTGTCTCAATGCTTCCTGCTGCTGCAGCTCAAGCGTAGGGGATTCCACGTAGACATAAAAGAAAAAAAAAAAGAAAAAACTTTTTTTTCTTTTTTAGGGGAAAAGTTTTTTTTTTTTATTTTATTCATTTTTTTTTTCCCATAGCCAGGTGATTGTAAAAATTAGCAGCCATGAGTGTGGATGCTCTGGGCAACTCAGTAATGGAGCCTGCCTTTCCTAAACGGAACCCGGCGCTGAGATTAGTAGACTTAGCAGGGGCTCATCATCATCATCACCATCATCATCATCACCCCCCTCAGAGCGTGACAGGCTTCCCAGGGTACGTGGGTCATTCCCACTCAATGGCTCACATGCACCCTGGAGAATATGCTACTTCTGCTGATTCTCGCCTAGGGCCAACTCCTGCATTCCGGCCAGAACACATGGGGCATCATCCAGGGGCCCTCAAAATCAGCCCTGCCCATAATCCTCACCACCTTCACCACCACCACCACAGCCATCATATGCCAGGCCACGCTGAGGTTGCCTCCAGTCAAACAGGAGCTTTTGGCCCTTCTCAATCAACAGCAGTATCCTACGCAAGTATCCCCCACACAGCTCAGCCTATATCTACAGGTAGGGACTTCTTAATAGCCAGAGATCTGACAGTACAAGTCATGCCAGGTCTGACTGAGCCACACTCTGCAGCAACATCTCACCATGGAATGTTTGTCTCAACAACAGGTAGCTACCCTGGACAGCATGGCCACCACACAGAAGCTGGGAACCATTCCTATTTCTCTGGACCTCATGAGCAGCCTTCCCATGCCACTCCAGGTGGTCAACCTCTAAACGGACAGATAAGACTCGGACTACCTGGAGATATGTACAGCAGGTCTGATCATTTCACTCAAAACGTTTCTAGGACAGACCCTTTTGCTTCCACATCTCTTCACAGCTACACTGGCATGAACTTAAATATGAACATTGCTCCTCACCAAGGACCTGGTGCCTTCTTCCGTTACATGAGGCAAGCCATCAAACAAGAACTCATCTGCAAGTGGATAGAGGAGGAACATGTTCCAAAAAAACTCTGCTCAAAAACTTTCAGTACCATGCATGAGCTGGTCACCCATGTCACGGTGGAGCATGTTGGTGGGGCAGAACAATGTAACCATGTGTGTTTTTGGGAAGAGTGTCCAAGGGAAGGGAAACCTTTCAAAGCCAAATACAAACTGGTCAACCACATCAGAGTCCACACAGGTGAAAAACCCTTCCCGTGTCCCTTCCCTGGCTGTGGGAAAGTATTCGCCAGATCAGAAAATCTCAAAATCCACAAAAGAACTCATACAGGTCAGTCCAAAGACTTCTGTTGTTGTTTGTCTGTTTGTCTGTTGTTTGTGTATATGTTATTTCTGTTTTGGATATTATTTTATGACCTTAATGAATGTACTAAAACAACATAGATTCATACATTTATTTTTTTCTTTCTATCTTCCTTTTCTTTTCTTTAATTTATTTTCCTCACCTGCCACTTACTGATACTTTGTATTGCATTTTTACAACATCACACATCAAATAGCCACATAGAGAAATTGATTATAATCCCTTGAGATATTTTATGACCGCTTCCATTTGTGATCTGATTGATTTAAAGCTCGGGGGATTGTAAATGAATGAATCAGGAACAGAGTAAATAGATTTTGTACACGTGGTTGTAAACTTACATTCAAGCTAATTAATATTTATGAAATAATATAGTACAGTTTATACAGCCGCCACAAAAGCGATTTTATGGTCAAGATAAACTATTTAATATGGATTACTGTTGACAGTTTGAGCTGAACATATTTAGTTATAATTTAGTCTGACAGCATTATATTTCTACTCCTTTGATCCTTCCCGTTTAATAATATAAATGTAAAAAAGCAAATATAAACAGTATGTGTATGTTTACATATATATTTGTATATACACAAATTAATATGTGCATAGGCATTTGGTGTGTATTTCATATAAGATCAATACATATATTATTGCATATTGTGCATGCATGCATCCATCCATCCCCCATTTGGCCATCGTATTCTCATTTAAAAGAATAATTCGATGTTTCTCCACGGTTTTTTCTAACGCCCCAATCCCTCATCCTGTATCTGCTTTCAACCTTGCTTTTTAATGTAAGGGTCTTTTTACTAAACAGCGAATTGAGATGCGTTAACCATCTGAGAATTGTCTGTTAGAAAATATATCTTCAACAGGAATGAATTAAACCTATTTTCTAACTCAGCTATTGTGCATCAATTTTGCAATTCGATTTTCAAGGAAACACAAGTCACTGTTTAGTGAACATGTCTTCAATTTATAGTAAAAGACAAATTGTCTAATTTACTTATAGTTGTGAACAGGTGCTGTTGTTCTCTTTGGTGACAGACTGTCTCCTAAGTAAACAAACTTTCTCTGCTCATTGGAACCTCCTAGTCTGAAGCTTGTGAAGCAAAACATTATGCAATTCTATACTTGATTCACCTAAAGCAAAATGTACAGTCAATGCATTAGAATTGTCACTTTTTTATCACTTTCTGCTCATGCCACATAAACATACACAAATATATGTTTCCCTTATTCTACATCTGCAATGGTGAATGATTTTGACCATGATGCTGTCTGCAGGGCCTTTAAAATGGACATTTTTTTCCCCCCCCCCTGCACCAAAAGTTGTTGGAAAAAGTAACTAAATTGTAATTCAAGTTGTTAAAATGTAACAATGGAAACCTACATTTGTGGAAGAGAAATGAAGTTACTCTGTAAAACATCAAAATTTTTTCTCTCTCTTTTTGTTTGTGGATTGGCTAAATTCCTCTAATAAATTTCATTTTGTAATTTTGTTACATATATTTTAATTACTTGAGTAAAAAATATAAAGGTCAAATATTGTAGTTGTTGCTAGGTAATCCCATGTGATGGCTTAATGTGTTTATATCATATTTGTTTAAAGCTTTCATTATATATTTATATTATTCATTGTACATCTCATTCACATTGTGTTTGCAAACCTTACATTTAAATAGTTAATATTTTCAGGTATTTAAGAATGCTTATTTTCATCTTGTAGCATAATTTGTTGCTGTTATATGCTGAGTCAAAGTATATATTGGTTGCTTCTTTGCATATTTAATTTATTTAAATACAATTTAAAAAAATCAATAACAAGTAATGATCCATTAATCTAGGGATTTTGTACTTAGTCTATATGCAATATAGGATCACAATATAATAAACCTGTTATTGTATGAGGATTTAATAAATGTTCAATACAATAAAATTCATATTTGTGAAAAGTATGAGCATTTAAAGGTATATTTTGATATTGAAAAATATAAGGATATTTAGTTGCTATTTTGAAAGATTTATTCCTTGGAATTGGAATTTTGTGAATATTTCACCATATAACATATGCTGATGAGTTTAAAATTTAACATGTAAGCGTCTAAGTAAGTGCAAATGGTAGCATTGTTAAAAACACAAGGCACTTCACTACAGAATCACTTCTCTATAATAGTTGGTGCCTTTCTTAAAGTAGCATCAGGGAGTGTATTTTCCCAACTGGGAACTGTAGAAAGTGGCCAAGAGAATTGGAAATTTCAGGCCTAAGCAAATTCTATTAGTTTCTGCCTATTTATGTGTTTTTGGCCTGAAATTTGCAAATTTTTAATTGTCTTATATATTTAGTTTAGTGAATAAATACATGCATGTTTTATTAATAATTTTCATAATTTAATAAAAAAAATTAGATCTTAAATAATTTGCAGTTGAATTTCACAAGCCCTGAAATATAGAAGAAAAAAAAAATCACCCCCAACCCCAAAAAAAATAAAATAAAAAATAAAATAAAACAACCCCCACCCTCCAAAAAAGTAAAACAACCCCAAGATAAGGCCTTACAGAGGTAGAAACCATTTCACACTTCCAAAGTGAGGTGCAGCAAGCTATTTCAATCTAGCTTACTGGATAACAAATACCCATTAAGTTTGGTTTCAAACATTAGTGAGCTGCAAAGATGATTGGGATGCACAAATGCTCATTGCATATTTAAACCTAAAATCACGCTTGACCCATTAATTTCTGTCTACAATGCACATGTGAAATATACAGTAAATTAAAAAAAAAAAAAGAATACAGGCAAAATAACAATACCATTTGGACCTTATAATAACAAAAGCAAAACATATTTAATGCTCCTCATGGCTAGCTACTATATTAATACAATTATTCATATAGCTACTAGTGGTAACTAATTTGCCAAACAGAAATTTTCTCTCTTTTTACTTTGAATTAAAGAAAAAATGCAAGTGTTATTTCAGGTATGTTCAGAACGACATAATTCATATAATTATACGATTTTTATACATGCGTGTGCATGTAGTAAGATAGACTATTAATTCTGGCATATTGTTAGAAAATGCTGGGAACTATTTACAGATAGTAAGAATATATACAAATGTTGCATTATTTAAAATCACGCGTTTATTATAAAAACGTTATGCTCGCTTAATTGAACAAATTATAGGGCCACCTACATTCAGCCACGTGATCATGTAGAGACATCATGGGTGTAAAATTAAACGTTATTGTAATTTAGATTTATAGGGGATAAAAGGCATGTAGACACATCTCCTAGATATATACTTTTGTATTATATGCAATTCAATAGGTCCATAGAAAGTTTGTTGAAATAGTTATTGGAGTTATTGCTACAGTTTGTGATACACAATTGAAATCATTCTGTAGTATATTACATACACACACATGTACAGACACATACAAACACAACACACACGCACACACATGCAAGCTTTTTTTCAAATTATATACAACATGTACGTCCCATAATAAAATATGCAATTTGCATTGCAATGTTTCTTTGTCTGTAGGTTAAGGTAATATTATATAATTTCTATATTTATCAAATTAAGCAGTGGTGATGTTAAAAGTGAAAATACATATAAGCGTGTATTCGGCAATTTAACATTTTAATTATACAGACAGGGGTCTCTAGCTTATAATAATGTTTAAAGGAATTTTTTTTTTTTTTATGTTTTAAAAAAAGGTGATTCACCCAGTACTTGGTTAATGATTTGGAATTACTAACTGTTCTAACATATTTCTTGGATTTTTATCTATTCCAGGCGAGAAACCATTCAAATGTGAGTTTGAAGGCTGCGATAGACGCTTTGCCAACAGCAGTGACAGGAAGAAGCATTCGCATGTCCACACCAGCGATAAACCCTATAACTGTAAAGTGAGAGGATGTGACAAGTCCTACACACACCCCAGTTCCTTGAGGAAACACATGAAAGTACATTGTAAATCTCCTCCTCCAAGCTCAGGGTATGAATCGTCCATACCTTCTTTAGTATCTCCCTCTTCTGATTCTGGACAGGAGCCTCCTGCAACCACTTCTCATTCTGAACCTCTTACATCCTCCCAAGGAGCTAACCTGAGTGAATGGTATGTGTGCCAAAGCTCAGGGGCGAGTGGCATCCCAACTCCACCCAGTAATACTCCTTCTCCTGACCATCGGAAAGCTTCTTATAATAACTGTGAGGCTAGGCCGAATTACTAAGAGTCAGCCTAACCCAACAAAATATTCCTTACACATATTGGTAGTTATTGGGTCCAAGTACTGTATATTATAAAGACTGTGAAGAACATCATGTCTGTTGAAGTTCTGAAAAAAGGGACCACTTCTTCTTACTAGCTTCAATTCAGATGCACATATGAAAATGTATAGCAAAATTCAGTTGTGTGAATCTGTAGTAGGCTCTCCCTCAGATCCTTCAGCTTGAATTTGAACAGAAAAGCACAAACAATCTATCCCACCCTTCCTTTTCGATCTTTGTTTACTGTTCACCTTTCTGCATATTGTTCACCAATGAACCAAAGTGTTTTGTTAAAGATTTGTAGATGATGTACACTATAAATGGTCAAAGGCATACACCATGGTGTTTTACATACACGTTTGTTAGCCTACAGTCCAAGTGCTTTTATAAAGCTGAACTGTTATTTTTTTTGTCTGTTTGTTTATTTGTTGATTTTTTTTACTAGTTTGTATAAAGCAAATTAAATCTTTATTAGTTATCCTGGTTGGTGACATGTATATAATGAATTATGATATGGTAATTTATGTTGTGTACATATTAATTTCATGTCAAAAGTTAAAGTATGGAGAACACTATGGGCCTTGTAATTATTTTCTGAAATAATAATTGTCAGTTCGGTTTCCCATAGGGCCATGTTGGTTAAAGTGTTGTTGAAATGATGTTATTGTACAGATTGAAGACAGAGCTATTAAACATGCTTATAAGGTGTCATTTCATTTTTAACAGACAGTGCTGTTTATGATTGCTGTAGCATACCATGTCGTGTAAAATAAAACATTTTTCTACTACAAAAAATAAATTAGCAATGTTGGATCGTTAATGGCTGTACGGCGTTAAATATCTAAGTATCTGTAAAGTTGTACCCCTTTGAAAACATTGATTAAGTACTTAGTAGAAGGTTTCTGTAGAAGCCGGTGTCCATCTTGATGGATGCTGAGTTAAAGAGTTACTATGCAGATTCAAATACAACAATTAAAGCACACAAATAATGCTCACAGATAATACCAAACATTTACAAAAATTAGTTTTTTTTACCACTTAATTGCTAGCTTTTGCTAATAAAATATAATGCCCAAAATATAGGTGTAGATTAGTTGCATGGAGTTAGATAAATAATTTTTTTAAAGCTGGAAAGTACTAAATATGCATCCTACACAATATTTTGCATACCTTGAAAATCGTGCTTGAAAGAATAAAATGTATGGCTGGCATCTGCAGGATACTTTGCATATGAGAGATCAGATCTGCTTCTTATTCTTGTAGTTGGGTGTGAATTTCTCAAAGTGTTTGATTCTATAGGCTAATCACCTTTAATTTTTCATTTGCTTGTTACAGATGTCTTCCCTGTTGCTCTCAAGGTAATCTTGTAGACAGTCACATCTGAAAGCTTGAATATTATGCTTTAGACATCAAAGGACTTTCTCACAAAGGAGTCTTCTTCTCAACGGTGAATCTTCACGGTAAGTTAGTATTTGTATAGCAATAGGCAAGTCATACTTAATTCTTCAATGGCCAAGTCTGGAGCCATTCCAGTTCTTTGATTAAGGACATACTATTTACGTCTAAAGAAGCCTTTCTCTTGTGTATACACGTATATATTTTGCTTGACTTCAGCTAAATCATTTTCATTTAATTTCCAGTAAACAAAAACCACGCGAATGGGCACTTGTTGGAGATCATAATAAAAATGGATAAAAATGTTGGGAAGAAAAGGACCGCCTGAACTGAGGCGTCAGTGAATCATTGTCTCTGCTCTCTGCAGTGATCAGAGAATTCATTTTGATTTGATGGCCAAGTTTCAAAAGGCAAGGAAATGGTTTTTAAGGAAAAGAATGGAAGAAAGGCCTAATCAAGTTCGGGTTGTTCAAAGAGTCTGGTTTTGGGGGTGAAAGTGTGAGTTTTATGGAGCCTCAACATGCCAAGTTAGGCTCTCTATGGTAATGAGGGGGGCAATAGCAAGCTGTCTTCAAAGGAGGCACACTCCATTTGAGACACAGTCTATTAAGATACATTTTAACTGACCTCTGCTTTCATGCTAGTTTAATACAGTTGATCTCCTCTATATTATGTACCATCACATTTTAGTGTGTGCATTAGTAGCATGTTTGTAAATGCAAACATAGAGTACATATATATGACTGAGTAGGCGTTCTTTATCTGTGAGCACATGTGACATTCACTTGCTCTTTTATATACTCTTTTTAAAATAGTAGAGCTATGCATATTATTTTTGTACTATGATTATTTAAAAAAGAAATATTTGTAGGATGAATAAACTGGTTATATCTTTTTTGCCCTCTTTTATTTCAGGCCTCCTGCCTCGTCAGTTCCGGCACACCACAACTGCCATTTCCATTCCCTGTTTGTCTTATGTTACTAATACTACGGCTTTATGCCGTGACCACAAATATATATATATATATAAAATACACAATAAAGCGCACTTGCTTATTCACTAAACAATGAATTAAAATCTTAGAATTGTAATAGTTTTATTTAAAAACACCTCACCTATGCAAAAAATAATGGGGGGTTTAGTTACAGTATATGATCATATATCGCATAAGCCTGCCATAACGTCGATGTACTCCATTCTTGGCAGGTCCTACTATAGCAGCCTAGTGCTTGCTCTTATGAGATTAATCCACTTACTTGGGAAAAACTTCCTTACTGGGACTCTCTGCAAGTCAAGGCTAAATAGGGTCCTGGACCCTGTGACAGTGAGGGGTGCAAAACCAAGGAGTTGGCTTGGGACTCCCAAATATATAAATGAAACCAAGAGGGTTGCACTCACCTGAACATGCATACATACATATATTTTGGCCCCAGTAGCACCCTATAATGTATGCATGTTCAGGTGAGTGCAGCCCTCTTGGTTTCATATAAATACACATTTATGCACACACACATACAATTGTGTGTGATTGTGTGTGAGTGCATTTTATTTATTTATGATTTTCTTTATAAATAAGCGTGATGATTCGTGATATAGGTTATTACTTTCTTTATTTTTGAGAACATGCCAGATTATTTTTAAAACCATGGCTAAATGAAACAATCAGGAATAATAGCACACAGTAATACATATTGATTGCGTTTCCAAAAATACTACATTCGAAGTGATGACATGCTGACTCTAATTTCACTATATTTGTACTCACTGTATTCAGTAAGGAATAGATCTGCCCACTCACAATCACAGTAAACTTTCTCTAGCGGGGAAGGTCTTTGTGTCAGGATAGGAAATAAAAATATTTAACCATGCCCTTGCTGAATGGGTTATCGCCGAACAGGGGCCTTTTACATAAAACCACTCTGGCCGCAGAGATTTGTTTATAACTGGAATGTCAAAGGTTGGAATATTGACTAAAAAGTAGGGAGCTTGTTGATATTGAATAATGGCGGTGAAATGGTTAAACGGAAGGTTGGTGTAATTGTCAAGTTGTTTATTTTACCCAAGTATGTCTGTTAAAAAGGCGAAAAATAAACATGGCAAAAGAAAAAAAAAATCCAAACAGTTCACTCCCTTTAGTGCCAGTTCATGTGGATTAATAAAAAGGATGGACCGGGTTCTTTTGAGCTGAGAAATCTTTGAAGTTGGAGTTATTATGTGAGACATTCTTTCTTGTAGTCCTAACAACCTTGATGAAACGTTAAAGGTTCTTTGTCAGCGATTTGTGAAGTCCAGGCAGCCAGTTAGCTGAAAAGCCACACTGAGTTCTACTAGAAGATTGGTTTAACTCTTTAAGTGCCCATTGGAAGAAATAAAGATCTCCATTTCTCACCCAGTCAAAGCTAATGGGTTAACAATATAGGTATATCAATATGTTCGCAACATATGACTTTTTAAATACGTAGCAAGATTTGCAGTCTGTACGGTGTGCTTTGTCCTAGAAACTTGGTACTATATATATAAAGATAATGAGAATGTAATATTATTTTTATTATTTAGAAATGGCAATATATGAATAGCATAAATTAGCCAATACCAGGATCACTTACGATGCAGTCCTAGCCATAAATGGTTGACCTGAGGGGTTACAGGGTTTAAGTGGTGTCTGTGTAACAAAAAATCTAATAATAGTAAATTAATATGACAGAGGTCTGTAGCTCATATTAAGGTGATGATAGATTATGGATTGTCTGCTGACATTTATGGCATTTATGTGAATTGTGTGCGGTGTTTCGACATGTAAACAGCAACTTGTGACTGGTGCAAACTGACCAGTTTGGATTATACGAGTCTGGAATGCAGTAGTGTAGTATATTTAAGAACTTTATTTAAGTAATCATTGGAGGTGGCTGTACTTGACCTTTGAATGCCATAGAATGTTTAGAACGTAGCGCAACATTACTTATTTTGGATTGCAATGTTGTAGATCAAATATGTTGGACAGGGTTACAACGTTATGCTATCTATTGGTTTGTTTGACCTTTATTGGACCTTAATGCTTGCATTTTATTTTGATGGTATATAAAATACGTTGACATACAGTAGGCTATGCAGAAAGCATTCCACAATGGTAAACTCCATAAATATAATAAGAGAACTTTAATCAGCACTATATAGAAGGATATAAAAAAATGAAAGGAAAAAAATCACAAGAGGAATCACACAAAAGAAAATAACCCACACTTCTTAAAGCGTTTCAGACTTTTCAGTCCTTAGACATGAAAAGTCAAAAAAGCATTAAGAGGGATGGGTTGTTTCTTTTGTCATAAAAAATAAAAATTGCCCATTCTATATTTTAAGGTGCCAAACAGAATGTTGACGTTATGGCCCCTCAAACCCATTAAAAAAAATGTTTCTTTTGCGCGGCTTCTATTTTTGTTTATTTTTAATTGTCCGTCCTCTAATACAAGATTGCAAACAGAATATTGAATTTTTCACCCCTCAAACCTTTTTTTTTCTTCTATAGTTCGGCTTCTATTTTTGACATGACTCTGTAAAGTGCCTATAAAAGTTATCTTACCATGTTTATAGATTATTATCATGGCGTGCTTTCATCATAGCCTTCTATATTTTTCTGTATGTATATTAGGAATATAACACTATATTATTGAGGAGACAAGAAGAAGCTTATATATAAACTTCTTCTTGTCTCCACAATAAAGATTGAGGGTAAGCAACTGTTTCATGCTTTGATTTAATTTTATAGTTACTAGGTTAGCCCAGTCTGATATATATTATATGAAATACATTGATACAAGATAAAAATCATAACTATGAAATATGTGACAGGCATGCATCATTGATTGCATTCTGTGTTAGCTTAAGGCAAATTCTTTTTATAGCCTTTTTATACAGTTTAGCAATCTAATGGTATACATGTGTTTCCATAAATCCATAAGTCTATAAATCCCTGCAGATTCACAGTTGTGAAGAATATTTGGCAAAATATAGAAATGTGATTACCAGAAGTTGGCAGAGTGACCTAAACAAGCAAAAAATTAAGTTTTCATCATATTTACTGTTACTCTGTAAACATAAAACTTTGATTGAATAAATGCATTGCTGTTTGAGTCTTCTAAAGGATTCCAATTGAAGTTTATAATTATTACCTGAACACAAGAAAGTGTCTAAAGAGATTTTACAGGGTGCCAAATGGGTGAATGTGTAAAGCGATCAATTGGAGAAGGATTTTGCAGGGACAATGTAGCGAACTCTTACGATAACCAGCAACATACAAGTGGATACACCTGGGACCTTATGTATAGCTGTGATATATGACGTTCTAACCAATGTGCTGAATAGCAGCAAAGATTGAGATTGATTGAGCAGGGCTTTCTTTACCTCTATAATTGTAAAGCATTGCACAATATGGTGGCACTATATAAATGCCAATAATAAAATACTATGAAATAGGTCCAGGGCACGGTAGATGGAACAGTTCGTAAAAGGTTCATCATAGGCTGGAATGGGATTGCAATGTGGGAATTAAACTTTTATTCTTCTTGGGAATTAATATAATTAATATAATTTCTTAACATTGTATTTAAATTCATCACTGCAGAAGGACCACAAGATAGAGAAAATAGTTTAGATTTGGAACCACTGAAGGCGCTGTACGTTAATGTATCAAACTTAATATAGCAACGTAAGTTAAACAAAGACAGAATTGATTAAATCACCAATTTACCTGTGGATCCATGCAAGTTTCAAATGTGTCAATCATCAAGACGTACCAATCATAAGCACATGAAACAAGATAGATTTTTGACTAAACCATTATTACTGGATACATAATTACTGCACCACTTAATATTTACAGTACCACTAACTTCAAGTACCTGCAATACTAGATTGGTCTGACGTGACAAAGAATTTTCAGTTGAAGGGACATTAAGCATGAGCTATTTGACCCACGCAAGTGTGAGTATAATAAGAAATTGAACAGTGTGGGAGGTTCAGTATGGAGGTATCCCGTGCAGTAATAAGAAAAATTAGAGAACAGTTTCATGGAATAGTATTGCATGTGTAAGAATTGTAACTTAAATATATATTAATATTAAAGAGATAAAAAAGTTAGCCTCTTGAAAAAAGCAATTTCTTACATTTATACATATATGAAACTTGGAGGGAGGGAAGTAGAAGAAAGTGACACAGTAAAACTTCTTTTAGTAAAAAAAATTAATGAATATGAGAAAAATAAATTCACATATTTAAAACATTTTTAAACATTTTTTTGTATTACAAAAAACATTTTTATTAATGAAATAGCCAGCAAGATATTCATGCTTTTCAAGAACACTGCAATTTAATATGAAATAAAGAATGCCCTGTGTGACATTCTGTTGAGATCCTGATATGCACTCTGTGAAATTAAGAGAGCAATAAAGACTTTGAAGGAGTCATGTATTTGGGCTGTTAGCCTTCCACAAAACATGGGACTTGTGGGACCAGAACAATCCTGGAGCCAGCCCCACGGCACCGAACCCCTCCCGAACCACAACCCACAGAACCATCAGAATGATCACACGGAGACAAAACCACCCATGCACACCCATCGCAAACACCGAACAGCAAGATGCAGCTTAATCACAAACACCGGGACACCAGGTAGCACAGACAAGGCAAGACAAAAGCATACAGGCCAGACATGAACACACCAACCTGCACCAACACAAATAAAAAAAAACAAAGACTTGATAACACAGCACCAAACCCTCACAAGCCTTCCATTGAGGGGCCTGTTGCCCCATCCCCCCCACACCCTCTACACCCCTCCCCACAACCATTAAGCCACCGCCCTCCCGGGCACGGCATCTCCCCACTAAACACGCCAAATCCTCCCCCCCACCTTGCTTCTTTTTCTTCTTCTCTTTTGTCTTAACTTTGCCTTCCGCAGCCACCAAAAACGGCCAACTAGGATGACAACCCACACAGCCACAGACCACCTGGCAACAACGTCAGCTGACAGCTCCAGGTCACGAAACACAGCAAACGGGAATGGCCGCCGACAACACCGTGCACCAGGGAACAGGACCAACCAGGGACAGATACACCACACGAGGCAGGAAAAAGGGGACCAGAAATACTTGCCCCATAACACACGCACACCCAGATCCCCACTGGGGATAAACAGATGGCACCCCTGGGTACATCAAACACACCACACAATGGGCAACCAGAGGATTGACCAGGTGCTACAATACCAAAAAGTTGTCATATGCATGGCATACTACCTATGTACAAACAATTGTGGCCACAGGGCTTGTATCATTCTGTACAACCAAATAACCTGCAAATGCATAACCCACTTGTTTTTTCTGTTTTTGTACAATCAAAAACTACTAAAATAAAGAATTTACAAAAAAAAGAGAGCAATAAAGAAACAATAATAGTGGCAATATGTGCACATTGTTTAGTGACAGTGTGTGTACATTTTATAATGCTGTGTTCAACATTGTTATGTTCAGTACAGGCATAAAAAAATACATACAGTATGTCACCAGTGGCCATCTTGTAAAACCTAAATAAGCATATGGACGGCACTAGATCTGGATGAATAGATTATATGTACACAGTGACTGGTATATATAAAAGTTGTCATAAACAGCGGAGCTGGTACATGGCTGCACACTGTGTGAGCCAATTGTTGTAAAGTACTTTGAATTAAAATACCAATTAAAGTTGGCTTTGTAGCAGACAGTATGCTAAGCCTGACAACCAATGAAAAGAAGTTGAGAACTATACAAAGTACAAGAACCGGTAGTGTAAAGACTCAAGATGGTCATAAGTTGGAAACACACCAGGGAAGTTGCCTCTGCAAACATAATTCACTCCTACCCCTGTCAATAACAAAAAAATAAAAATAAACTGTCTCTGTGGTACTGTGTGCATTCACAGTAGCTGTTTCTGCCCATCCTTCTTCCCATTACCATGTTACGTCATGTCACCCACTCTGCGCCATATTGGCACCATGTGACACGCTAGTTGCTGTACTTTGGTGTCCTTTTATGCGGCACCTAACTTGCAACACTTTTGGAACGCTATTTCTGTAGTGTCATCTATGTCTCTGTGTAGTAAAATAAATGAGCTGTAACACCAGTGACATCTTTCAAACAGATGATTTATTCAAAAGATTCCTCTTAATCCTCAAATAAAAACAACAATAGTGAGATATACCTAAAAATACAAAAACGGAAAAAAGAACTCATTGGATGATAAAGTTAAAAACATTTAAAATCTCCAAAGTTCAAGGTTGCACTTCCAATATTTCAAATAGTTAGAGCTCATCAATGTATTAAAGATTCCAGGGAACTCGGCATTTGTCTCGTTTGGAAGACCCATGCAAAAAAAAAATTGAAAAGAATATAGTGCAACACTGATATAAAATATCAAACACGCTTTAATGGTTACACTTACAGAAATTATGTCTATTTAAAAGTACACCACGTGCACATCATTGCTCTCATACAGTTTACTCTTGGTGTTCAACTTACCTTTTTAAATTAAATTTTCATATTAAAATAATTCATAAGGTATGTGTGACTACAAACATAACAGTACCACTGTACGTAATTGGAATCCAACGGTAGACAACCTCGGCAACTACGAAAGCACTGAAAGACAGTTCACACCCTAGCACGTGTCCTACCTGGATGGACTAGAGTGAAACATTGACAATAAGCATACTATCTTGGACTAGTTGCTTACACAGGTTATAATGCTGTGATTGCCACGTGCTTCCCTTTTAGCTGTTTCTAGTTTAGCACAGGTTGCTGTGGTTGTTCTAAGACCCCTGAGCGTCCATATTTCTTTGATACTGCGGAATTATATGTTGACTATATTGGAGTACCCAGACATGACATAGGAAATGTGTTTGGATTGAAAAGTGAGTGCTGCAGCACATTTGGTCTGTTTAGATAGATAGATAGACAGACAGACAGAGAAAGACATACAGAGAGATAGATAGATAGCTAGATAGACAGAATTAATTTAAATATATATATATATATATATATATATATATATATATATATTACAGTGATAGAGTGATAGACAGACATAATTTATTTAAATATATATATATTTAAATTAGAGTCATAGTAATGTACTATATATATGTATATATATAGTACATTACTATGAATCTAATGTAGGTGATAATTTGCAGTATGTTTGGTTTAATTAATATTCAATTTTAAAAATGTGCTATATGAATAGTGGAAAGAATGACATAGAAGTTAATATTGTCATGCTTTGAAAAGCTTTCCTGGCATGGTTTGAAAAAAAAAAATACTCTGTTAAATGAAGCTCCCTCAATTTCCAGAGCAGGTGTAGAATCGTTGATAGAGTGCAAGTTTAATCCCTGTATGCCCTATGAACCTATTCAACAGAGATTGGCTGCCTTGCAAATGTTGTCTCTTTGAAATGGAATACAGAGGTGATTTGGGTTCCCCTGCTCAGTCATCTGTCCGCAGGGAGCTGGGCTGTGATTACAAAGTTACTTAGCACACACCATAGAGAGGTTTTAAGGTCACTAGTGACTTAAGAAGTATTTAACTGACAAGATTAACTAGCTTTAACAAAAGGAGCCAAGAGTTCGGTATTCCTTTGCAGCTAGTTATACAAAGATAAAAATAATGATTATTCATTGGTAAATAGTATAATTTGTTGAAAAGAGCTTTGAGAATGGAAAAAACATGGTTTGTACATTATTGCAAAAGATGATTTTGGAGGCAAAGTCCCAGTGACGGTGTTCATCGTCAGTACAGATGTTTTTTTTCACCTAGAAGTAAAAGTGTGAATCAAATATAACAGCAGGGAGAAGAAGGGACTCACACAGAAAAATATATTGGATTTGCTATATTACATATGTTTATTAGAAAATTAGAAAATTAATTAATATTTGTATCTTCTGTAATTATATTAAATATTGATATATTATTCGTTAATATCGAATAACGCTTTCAGAGAAGTGTAAATATATGAAAGTGTTTGTATGTAGAATTGCCCAATATAGCTTTATTCATATTATTCTAACAAAATTACATTTCATACCAATCACAGGTTGTCATTTATATATTCTCTTCTATGCAGTGTCCTGTCATTGACCAAAATTTTTAATTCATGCTATAGTCTTCTGAAAATAATAAATACCTTTAATTTAAAGTGGTTTAATTTTTTATCTCTCTCTGCATTTCTCTATAACTGGTTAACTTTGAGCAAAACGCAGTAACAGGTAAGTATCATGGTTTGTAAAAATATATATGAGTTTGTCTCTGTGTGCCATGTCACGTAAAAGTCATTACTGACCCTTCAAATATGCTACCATGAAAACACAAATCACTTTTTAATGATAGTGGCACATAGATCATAAAGTACTTACTATGGTAAATCAGAGAATATATATATATATATATATATATATATATGCACATACACACACAAAAAAGATATATATATATATATATATAGAGAGAGAGAGAGAGACTTAATAATCAATAGACTTAATCAAAAGAATAAAATACAATAAAAAAGATTTTAAACTTGGTATCAAATTAATATAATGACCATGAAATAAATACATAATAAATAATTCTCAATGAGTCTTTGAAGCAAGGAACAAATGCTTATTTAAAAAATAAATAAGTCAAATACCTTTCCAGGTATGTATGTATGTACGTGCTGAGAGATAAACAAGGCTACCTTCTACATATCTCTTAAACAGAAAATTACAAAAATGTAAGATGCAACAAGTATTACCGCATTTATTCCACCAGTGTGAAATTGGCAACTTTTGCCCCAATATATAATAAATATAAATAAACCGAGTTCTCAAAATTGAAACCTGCCACTGGGCAGTGAATATTAAGCACTGCCAAGTATATAGTCCCCCCGCTGATTGCACCATTGGCCGTGCAGGTTTACAATGGTTAGTAATTTTCAAAGCCTGGCTAGTGGTACAGGACATTATATTTTAATCCCTACTTAAATGTATGCAAATGTATTACACAATCTCTATTTTATTTCTCTCATCCTATTAGTTTTCTACAACTGGTGTTCTACCTTTGGATCACAAGTACATATAATAAAAAATATCTTATGTCTGTAGGCGCACATACCAATTGCATTGTGAATGTTGCTAAAATGTTGCTGACTATGGGTTCAGAGAGAGCTCCAAACTTCATCTTGGATTAAAATGTTTGTATTAACATTTTATATATTGGAAACCATTTAAGTAAAGAAGGCCTAATCTCCATTTCTAAACTGTTCTGAATGAATGGCATTTGGTCCTTTGTTCAGTCCTGTTGATGAACGTAACACCAGACTCTGTATTATGTGCCCACATATATTAGTATATTATTATCTTTTTATAGATTAAATATATGCTTCTAATCTTTCAACGCCAAACTCTTATCTTTCTGTTATTTATTTTGTACTTTTGTACTTTTTACATTGACACAATGTCCTTCTTCTAAATTGTTACCCAACACTGTACTGCATATGCACTGTAGCGTTTTACCATTAATTTGTTTTTAATTGTATTTGTATACATTAAAATATCTTACTTACCTTATAGCCAGGAGCTGACGTGTTGTACTATTACTATGATTCTATAATTTAGACAAATTTCTGTGTTAATTATTTCACTGCCATTTTTACATTTAAAGTCATCTGCCACTTTTTTTCTGAAAGTTAACCAACGCCTTGTTTGACTGCAGATGTTGACAAATACATTTTTTTCATTCCATATAATTTACCTAATTTACCCCAAATATAAATTTTGTCCAATGATCTTCAATGTATTATGTGTGTTCATTAACAAATAAATTATATAAAAAAACCTCAGGTACTTGTCTTACTTCTTTTGTCCAGCTTGTGAATTGTCATTAACAACTCCCTGCTCTCTATCTTCCACCCAGTTTTCAATCTATTTGTATTGTTACAGAAAATGTGTTGAATTGTATGTACATTATGCATTCATGCCACTCTTGTTTGGAGGACATGGCACTGCATGAATGAGATTTCAGCATCCATATGGGACTGCGTTGTTCCTAGTGGTAGGGGGGAACTCAAAGGTGCCAACAATTATTTCATAGCAGGATCTTTAACAATATTGAGTTATAGCCATTTTGCTGGAAAGAGGAGAACCTTTCTATTTCGGGCTCTAATATCTAGTGAATTTATTTACACACTGTTTAACTAAACTGAGGGTTTACATACCCCTAGTCAAGGGAAATGTCTGCAAGGAAACTGCGGTTTGTGCATAGACACTCTAGTTTGTAGCACCCCTTTCAGCCTACATGTACAGTTAACTAACCTGCTACCCCTCTCTAGAATATTGTTTGGAAGCAAGGTCATAATGTAATACGTATAGATGGGATCCATAGGAAAGCTTGTTTTACTCATTTGTCAAATTTACCTTCATGTGTCATTTGTATGAAATAAACTACACTTTGCATCATAGGGCTATGTTTTAAATGAAATGGAATTATACTGAGAATGATTTTATAACAGAACGGAAAAATTATTCAAATTGAGGCCTAGAATGTAGAAGTCGTTGTTGGTTTGCTTAAAACCAGATTTCTGTATTATTGATATAACTACCCTTCTATAATATGTGCAGCTGAACTTACCTTTGGTGTAAAACAAAATGTTGTATAATGTACTGTCCATTTACATGTGCATGAGAAGCCTTTGTGGTCAACATATGATATTGTTCTTTCTCACCTCTTTTCTTAGGAAGAAGAAACATTACAAAATAATGGACAAGAATATAAATGAGTGACAGATGTCCTGTTTGCAAAGACCGTCTGAAGACATCATCAGCAGTTCAAATCATCTTGTCACATGCTTAGTAATGAATGGGGTGTGAATGTTTTGTCTTTGTTCCTTCTGTAATTGTACTGTACGTGTTTGTAAGCCTGGTAGTGACACATTCCACTCAATCTGATGCCTCAGTTAAAGCACAGTGCCATCTGATTTTTTTTCACCCGGGAAGCCTTTCAGATAACTGTAACTCAACGCAGTTGCTACAGTTAATGTAATTTAAATGTTTTGTTTCCAGTTAGAACAGATAGGTGATTTTACAACTTAAAATTATTTGTAACAACACAAATTTTAAGATCATTTTATAACTACCCTTAATAATACTGTCAATACTGGTGGTTTTTTTATTTACCTTTTGTGACACCTATCATAGTTACATAGTTACATAGCTGAAAAGAGACTTGTGTCCATCAAGTTCAGCCTTCCTCACATTTGTTTTTTGCTGTTGATCCAAAAGAAGGCAAAAAAAACCAGTTTGAAGCACAATTTTGCAACAAGCTAGAAAAAAAAAAATCCTTCTTGACCCCAGAATGGCAGTCAGATTTATCATTGGATCAAGCA